TAAACTGGGGAAGTGTCAACAACACGGGACTTCAGTTATTACAGGCACAAACGTGGGTGGCCACCATGCCTCCTCCACATGCATGAAGAAACTACCATGGATGTACGAGCATGTTACACCAAGAACCGGATTTTTATCCTCGTAGTAACAGAATGTAGTAACCTCACACTGTTTCTGAGTAAATATGATTTCATATAAAACACTGAAGTCAAATTCAAGACTGCAGATTTGTACTTTTACTGACTGCTGTTAAAGACTGAGCAGGATTTTGTTCTCCTTGAGTAAAGACAGGAAGGCAGCAAGCAGGCCCCCTCCCCTCAATACCTAACTAGTTCTCAAAACCAGGAGTACGCTGAAGTCTGCTGCGCTCATCTCAAACCAATGTGCAACTCAAGCAGCAACCCTGCAGGACTCTGCTTTCAGATCTCACCTATGCCAGGTTCATGACCTGTGCAAGGCAAGGGCATGCGTCACCTGGAACTGCCTCGCCTCCATCAGGAAACAGCCACCTGATGCCTCAGCCGGCCAGCAAAGACAGGGGGTGAGGTGGTGAATAGTAATTAAAAAACAAGAAATAACCAGAATTTAAAAACCCAAGCAATACCAGTTTGCCCACTTGCTGTGGTTTTGAAGGTCTCACCTTCACTTTTAACTCATCTCATTTCCATGACAGCAGGAAAAACTACAAAGGAGATTCAGCTTTGAAAACAGACATCATCGCAGTCGTACTTTTTGATAGGTAACTGCACATCAGCTAATGTACAGAAAAATCGAGAATGTTAACATTGTTACTAATATTTAATACTTTTCTCCTTCAACATCACATTTACTATTTATCCCTTTTTAGAATTCTTCCAGGTTTTTTCCTGTTTTCTTTCTCCGGTATCCCTTATTCACCTCTTTTCTTCCTCTAGTATTGCTGCCTTACTTCTCTTCAGAGCATCCTACCACTGTTACCTTTTCAAGCATTCTTTTTAGCATTAGTCTGTGTGAAAAATTCAGCTCTCAGACTTTTCTGAGACATCATTAAGGCACGCAGCTAACTCCCAAAGACCTGACCAGGAAGGAAGAAAACAGAACCCCAGTGGGTTTTCTCTGGGTTTGTTCATTTTCTTTACAGTAGCAACCCAGAAGCAAACCTTTTCTCTAACCAATCTCAGATGTCAGCTCCTTGCATTATAAAACCTTTTTTATTTTTAGAAAAGAGGTAAATAATTGAATCAGAGAGGCAAATAAAAGGAGGAATAGGAGCAGTATTTCCCATTGCAAAACCTCTGCTGATAGCTATTGGAAATAACCTGGTTTATTTTATCCGCCCTGTGATGTCAGGTTCACTTAGCACATGCCCTGTCAGCTCCCACTGACAGGCACGCTGACTGCGTGACTGGCGCGCACACCTGCGGCTGGGGAGCTGCTCCCTGCTTCTGTTTGTCTTCACCTGAAGGATTTTGGAGAAATTGTAGAATATTACAGCAGACTGGTCCTTGCCCCAGGTGTAGCAGGTTATTCCTTTCTTATTGAGCTTAGCAGAGCACATGAATTTCAGCATCACCTAGAACAAAAAAAATAAGTAAACAAGCATTATAAAGGAAAAAAAGGACATTTCATTTTAAGGTGAAAATAAAGGATAGGCTAAGGAACTGCTGTGACCAAGAGATTCTGCTCTAGAAACAGAAGCAAATTCTTGAGTGAAAAGATAACAGAGATACTGCTGTTTTTGTAACTCAGTAACAGCCAAAATAAGGCTAGTGGGAAAGAGCAGAGATTTTAAAAGCAAACAAAACCACAGTAACATGTCCATACCTTTTCATACCAGTATAATAATCTGTGAAGATCACTGACTTAAAGATTGTTACTAAGCTGAATGTAAAAAAAAATTACAACGGAAGGTAGTTATAAAAAAGTCAATCCTAACATCACAGTCTTATAGAAAAAGGAATCACCATAGCAGTTACAAGAAAATAGGAACTAAAAGATTTATGAAAATTAAGAAAGCAGAATGACCTGAACATGGAGAAGCATAGAAAACGACTTCTCAGCATATTAGGTTTCATGGTTTAGAAAGGTTTGTGACATGAATATTGGGCAAGCTTCAGGATATCAACAGCATCAACAATCTCCTCTTACTGTCAAGGGAGCAGATGAAGCACTCTAATGTCGTTGGTCTTTTTCCCCCATGTATCAAATTTCTTTGGTTTTATGGTGCTTTGCTCCACCAGGAAGAATTTACTACATGGGATAAAGATGCCAAATATAGATAAAATATGAGTCAAAAGAATGCTAGAATCCTATTTTTAATAATTAAATTATTACATGGATCTATTAAGTCTAATTTAAAGAAAGGCCTTCCAGTCTGATTTCTACCAGAGTTTTCAAGTTGTTCTCAGGCCACCAATTCACATCTGGTTCTGTCCACGCAGGACCACGTTCCTGTTCAGTGCTTCAGAGACCATTTTTTCTTCATTGCTCTGCACAAAGCAATGACAAGTACTTCTCATTTTTCCCCAGAGGAGGATGTTATGGAGGTAATCAGATCTTTGGTCTGGAAGAAAGCTGCTCACCTGCTTGTACAGATATCCATTCTGAATCAACCAGTCCAGAGATCCAGTTGGTGTTAAGGCACGGCTAGGAGAGGGAACAAAAGAACCAAACAAAAACCAAAAACCCCACTCCAACCCCTCAAAATTTGAACATCCTCCAACCCTCCCCACTGCTCGAAAAAACCCCACCACCACCAAAAACCCCACATAATGTTCATGAAGCACAGGCTAAGGGAGAGCCCTGCTGGCAAGACACAACATTTCCAAACATCGCTCACCCATTACCAGTTTCTTTCACATCTGAAAGCCAAAAGCATTGCATCTTTACCTTGCACTCAATTTGGCAGCAGCCTCTTCCTCCTAAAGACAGCACTGCCTGCCCCATGCAGCACAGGCTGCACAAGAGCAGCTGTTTGGTGGGGCAAATAGGGAATTCCCTCTCCATTTCACCATGTTTATCAAGGATAAAGGTTCCCAGCATACCTGAGCTATCGTTCTGCCGAAGCAAGGTGATGGACCCCTTTCTACAGCTTCTCCTATGGCAGAAAAGTGGGACGATGGGACCCAGTTGGTTTCCCATTTGTTGGCATTGGCCATTTTTTCTACCACATGACAGGCATCAGGTATCATCCATCTCTGGCAATAATTATATCAGGGAAATGATCTCACCTACTCATTGTGATTAGTGATACCACATTTAACAATTAATCAGCCAATAATGGATATTTGTGTACTGAAATGAAGAAGGAACAAGATAAAACAACAGATCTTGTCTCAGCTTTTTTGTACATTACATTCAACGACTACTGCCAAATTTCAACAACTACACCTGGGGACAAACTAAGGTCAGAAAAGTCTTAACAACCGGATGAGAGAGACATTAACCTCCAGACCATAAAAATGACTGAGCAAAGAAAGCAAGAGAGTTAAAATGAATATCCAACGAAGGACAACATATTTTACAGGACGTCGACATTATGAAGAGGTTCGATCTTCCTCTTATAAATGATGTACTCGACAGTAATGGACATTTCCAGTGGCTCAGAAAACAAACTGAATTGACACTTAGAATGAAGGAAAGCATACAAGTTTTTATTTAAAAAGAACTTTATTACAAATCTGTAGGTTTAAGAAAATATCCCAAAACTGTAGAAGTAGTATGAAAGATGCTGTCATCCCATTCACAGTTGCCAGTTTTCTCCAATAAACACAGCATACAAAAATTGATAGAAACCATGGCGATTCTTGCTGTGACACAAGTCATGTATTTGAAATTCTACATCCCCTGCCAACAACTAAGATGCTGCTTGCAGCCCAGGGGAATTACTAAATTACAGTATTTTAGAAAACTGGAAGTTTGGATAGAAAGGCTATATACATATACACACACTGTATTTTACCACATATACAGGTAACTCAGGGCGAGCAAAACATGGCCCAGCACAATACTTAAAGGCTATAAAAAACTGGAGACCCAGGGAATGTGTGTATACGGTCTAAGTTACTCTCCGTGCTCTGGTTCCCATTTTCTTTTATGTCTCCAACCTAACAAAGCCCAATCGTTTTACACTCTCATTTATAGGAACAGTGAAGCTGATGTGTTGCTATGCCATCTTATGACACAGAAAATGTTAGCTGCCCTGCATGCAGGCACGTGATCTAAAAACGTAATGCAGTTAAACCATAACAAAATTAAAAGTGGGGTTTTTAGAAGACTGTAAACTGAATTTACTGCAAGTGACCTAACACCTTAAGCTCCCCTGAAAACACAAGGATAACGTGGCATTTCTAATGTCATTCACAGATAATTCATAAGACATGTGAATGAGGAAAGAATTGTCTAGTACATCTTACATTCCCAAACTTAACTATGGACTGTTTTAAAAAAGCAGATAGTTTGTAAGCCACAGATTAAATCCAAACCTGCCTTACAACTCTAACTCTGGATAATTGGCTGCAGTGGTTGGAAGCTGCAGCACAGAGCATCGGTAACCATGCTCCCAAACTCCTTAAACTGCACAGGACCCAGACGCCACAGCTCAGAGCTGCAGTGTGGAAGAGGCTTCAGTGTAAGACGTGTGAAGATTTTAAAGGAGCAGGATGAAAAATTTCTGTTACAACACCTGCTCAAGATAATGATCTAAAAGAAGAAAAAAATAAGAAGAAAAAAAGAAGAAAAAAAAAGGAAGAAAAAACCCAAACAACTCTGTGTAATTAAACTCTGTTTTCATCAGGTGCTTGAAGGTTCTTAGGCAGAGGACATTTGGGATTTCCTACTGATCGATCCTCCCCTTTTGCCAACAGCAACTTCGAAGAAACCAGCATCATGCTGAAAATCTACTCAGTGCATTTAATTTATTTTGCTGTTTCAATTTAAGTTGAAAAGCACAGAATCAAGAGTTATTCAAAGAACACTACACTGCAGGAGAACAATTAGGAATCAACAGTCTCTCATCATCAGAGCAAACAGGATGAAAGATGCAGAACTGAGTTTACAGTAATTTCCTTACCCATGAAGACCAGATTAAGCCTAGGTTTAATCAGGGTTACCTGGAATAGTTCTTAAAAGCCACTTGTTGGTAAGGAGGTTGCCTCATTATCCTGCATTTACTGAAAACTGGATTTCTGAAACACTAATGAAACAGTCAAAAACCTTCATTGCAAAGAAGGAAAATACTTCATGTGCATTCTTAGGCATGAACCTTCAGGTTTGGGAAACGTTTCTCTAGATTGTCAGCCAGTGTCTGATCAGCCTCACGCAGAACTTCAAGGAAACTCTCCACCTGGAAATACATTTGCAAACACACACAAAAAAATAGACAATAAAAACCAAATCTGCATGGCACACAGAATTCTTATACTTGGTACAGAGGGTTTCTCTACTCCTGTATCTTCCCACCAGCAGCAGCCAGTGCAAAGAATAATGGAAAATGCTCCACAGTAGATACCTTCCTCCTAAACCCCACCATTTCAGTTGGTCTAAATTCTAAAACATTATCACCTTCCCCAAACTCTTATTTTATTATTTAAACGTATACAAAGAAAAGCTCTCTATGAAAAATATTTAGAACAATTATTCTATAAAAATGTACAGGACAAATTTTCAGCTAGCATAAATTTGCAGACATCCATTCCTTTCAGTACAGTTTGACCTTTCTATCAGCTGATGATCTAGGCAAAGCTCTGGCTGAAGTAAGCCAGAAGAGACAGAAAGGGTAAGACTGTCCAGAATGGCGTATTACCCGTGTCTGAGCAACTGTGTCCTACCTCTACAGCTGATCCTAAAAGGCTTTGTCATCCGAGTTGTCATTTTTCAGCTATGTTAAAGATCTTGCCATATACTCACCGATGTGAAATACAGAGGTAAGAGGTTCTGAAATGCACAGGAACATGTCTGTTCATTTAGATGTCCCTGGTGTAGTCCTTCTAACGTATTTTCCTGGAAAATAAAATCAGAAATACAACTAGCATGTAATGAACAGTTGCTGAAAGAAGAAACTCAGAACTGTGCACACAGTGTCTACAGCGTGTGCTTCATTCTCAAAAACGGGTAAAACAACCAGAACTCACAGTTCTTGGAGAGTGCCAGATGTAGCTAATACAAAAAGGTGTGAAAGCCCACACAAGCCTCTTCATCTGAACGCTCCCATAATAAAAAAGTCCATTTGAGAAGGTGAATTTATATATTGATACCTTCATTTTCTTAAATAAACTGGCTTTCATTCATAAGAAATAGCAGCACACACCTAGAGAATTGATCATACAGAATCCTGGCCCCGAGGGCATACAGCTCAGAAAACACCAGTGTCCCTGCTGTCTAGCACATGTTGCTACTCGCTTTCCGATCAATTCTGTAACGCATTTCCAGTATGCAACTTCACGTGCACAAAAAATGCCCACATTAATAGTAACATCTTTTTTCTCACCTATCCTGCAGAAATCCTTCCTAGAACTTTGTTTATTCTTACCTTAGTCAGTTCTTGAAGCACATTGGAAAGTAATTCACAGCAAATATCCTTCAAGATTTTTAAATGGAAATCTTCCTCATTTACATCGGCCCTTCCACTCTCTTCCTGTTCGGATTCCTTTGAGTTATCAACAGATCTCTTCCCACAGTCCTCCATGTATTGTAAGATACGAATCAAGCTCCCAATCAGAGGCATATCTATTATACAGTTAACAAGAAAATGGAAGTTTAACACTGAATATTTTTCCCCAACCATTCAAGGCATTCAGATTTTGAAACACACTGCAAGATTTTATACAGCATCAACCAGATCTTTTATACAAAAGATCACGCACTGGAATGGACTGCCCAGGGAGGTGGTGGAGTCACCATCCCTGGAGGTGTTTAAGGCAAGGCTGGATGTGGCACTTAGTGCCATGGTCTAGCTGATGTGGTAGTCTTAGGTCATGGGCTGGACTTGATGATCTCAGAGCTCTTTTCCAGCCTCAATAATTCTGTGATTCCATATTGGAACATTTATTTTGACAGTGTTGAGTTTTGTCACTCAGAGTCTGTTTTAAAGCAGCAAGTGAAAATGTAGTAGAGAACACAAACTGTTTTCTCTGCCAGCTAACCCTTATCTATAAAAAGTATATGCCAGTGATAGGAGTATGAGAAGGAAAATGTCTCCAGTAGTAACTCAGAGAGGCTAGTACGTTTAAATTCACATCTAGAGAAGCCTCTCTGATAAACCAAACCGACACAACATCTTTCTGCTGCACATGACCCTGACTAACATTCCAAGATAGGCTTTTCATTCTAAAGACTTGTCAATCGATTGAGAAGCAACATGTGATAAAGACAATTTAAGTAAGTGTAGAATCTCCCTCTATTAAGAAAAGATTACTGTCAAGACCTCATATTTTAGCAAAGATGAATTCTGCAATTTTCATTAGTTTACCAAATGGAGAAGACTGAACAGAATGTGTAGATTCTACTACTGTAACTGTTCAGAGATATCCAGTAACTGAACTTTGAGCTAGCTGTGATTTTTGAAATCACCAGTAAAGAGTCTTACTGTATTTAAACATGTAACTGAATTCTGTGTTCTGATCTCTAGTAAACAGTAATAAATTAACCACCTTCCACCCCACATACTTAAAAGTCAACTGTGAAAATAACTTTAAAAAAAACCAACAAAACACAAACAGAAAAAAAAAACCAAAAAAAAACCCCCAAAAAAACAGAAAAAAAAACCCAGGAAAAAAGCACAACTTGCTTTTCCTCATCGTGGTGTATTCTTGTTCTGTCTGTGAAGCAAACATAGCAGACAACACGGACAAAATAGAGGCCAACACAGTCTTCTGTTCCTGCACAATGATCGGTGGATCATCTGGCTGGCAAAGCTCATGGCAAACCAGGTCATAAAGCAAACTCCAAGTCTCCTTTCCTCCATCAGGAGCCTGCACTTGAGAAAGAAAGAAAGAGGACCCACCAACCCAACAAATTTAGTCTAGGTATGTGAATTATTTTTCTCCCCATTAAATTTCTGATGAGCTAGAAATTACTGCCATTCTTCATCCCATCATAGTTAGCAATTCAAGTGTCTTACCAATAGCCTGAATACCCTCATCCACCGTGGTCAGGAGCTGCAAAATATGCATATAAACATCAAGTCCTTCTGGATTATCTGATCTACACAGAACAGAAAAAAAAAAAGGAAAAAAGATCTTTTTACTGAGCTTGTATTCTGTGTGTTTTGGACACACAGCAGTCTATGGGCAATCACTGTCACTCTCTTTGCTGACAAAGTAGTTGAATCACTTCAAATTATAAGTACAGGAAATGTATGCTACTGATTTCTCAAACTATGCAGCTCCCACTGAAATCAAGATGTTCAGGCCTTTACAAGCTTCTGAGGAGTTTCCCCAGCCATGAAACCAAAAAGAAGTCTCACATACCGGACTTGTTTGGCTGCTTCAAGTATACAAGGCACAATCTTAAAATCTGGAAGTTCTTCGGGAGAATCGTCTACAGATGGTCCCACAGACCGACACGTGCCATTTTTAATCCAGTTTAACATTAACTCTTCATCTAGATCAAAGAGTTTGTCCACCACTTCACCCACTTTTACCAGCAATTCAACTGCACAAGAGAGAATGTATACATCTCAACCAGACTAAAAACAAAGGGCAAAAATTAGCTCACAAAATGACAATATAGAGAATACAGAGTAAATTCAGTGCTAAAATATAATAGTTTCAGTCACTATCTACTAAATGTTGATTTCCTTTTTGTGGCACAGATAGGTGAACAGCTTGATAAACAGGGATTGCTGGAAAGCCCACTGACTCCTTCTACCTCATCACGCCGTTTATGAAGCTGGAACTTTACTCTGCAAAGAGACTTCATGTTCCTGAAAAGTCGTAAAGGTTTCCAGGATTTGTCCCTAAATATGCAGTTTTCTGCTCACCGTATGTCTGCCAATCTGCATTTTACTTAAGTAGATCTGCGATTTCAATTGGACAGAGCAGGACTTCTGAGCAATGTCATTAAAATAAACACAACCAAACTGAAAAAGCTCAATTAACAGGATTCCTAGACAAATGATAACTACTGTTACAATTGAGCTGGACATGAAAAATAAATGTTATTCAAAATATTTCCATTATTAGGTGCTCAGCGCTAATTTAGCAAAAACCACACTGGGAGGTTTGTATACCACTGACTGCATACCCAAAGCCTCTGCAGTACTGAGCTGCCATTCAGAGTAACGGAATCATTCCTTCAGTTCACATTCCACAAGTATGGCAGTTTTAAAAATGGAAAATACACATCCAGTTTGAAAAAGAATGAAGTCTTGTTTCAAGGATCAAAAATGATATACGTGTATCTCTGAATGAGGACTTTATCCTTTCCTTTACTGTGTCAAACAACAACAAATTCTATTAGACTGATTTTTATCCCCCCACCCGAGCTTTCTTCTTCCTCTACAGGTGCTTTTCTGGTTAGTTTCATATGTATTTCTAAACCTACAAAGGCAGGACAAGTTTACTTTGGCATCCTTTAAATTAAGGAGGCTTACTTTTAAAGAAATTCTGTACTCCCAATTCAAAATATGTGTCTTTGAAATTGCATATTTCAATTGTTATTTTGTTCTGCAAACACCTACTAATTCCCAGCTTGTTTGGCAACTTACCATTTGTAGAGCTGGACATGATAAAGCAAACACAGTCATATACAGAAGGGTTTTCGCGGATTCTCTCGATCCAGACATTGGCCACCTCAGGCTGGGAGAGGCAAGTTAACAACAACCTAGACAAGAATTGCCCATTTAACAAATCAGAAGACAATTCATTCATTTTAGCTGTACAAGTGTAAATGCAAAATAATGAGAATGATGTGACAGAAACAGGAATCCAGCTAACAACAAACCAATTCCAGAACAATGCAGAAATGATGAAAGGATAGGATGACAGGAAAATAAAATAGTGAGCCCACTTGTCAATCCTCTTCTGAGGTCTCAGAACACAGAACTACACTAACGATGCATTAATTTCTGAGATGTCCTACCTGCTTGTTTCCAGAAGAGTTGGAGAGTCTGAATCACACAAACGTTGCAACAACACTTGGCTTTAAGGAGAAAATGTAAGAAAAGAGTTAACAAAAACTATGTTGGTTTAAAAAATAAAAGTCATAAAAGGTTAATTTCATAGCTGCAGCCATCCTCTGAGATCAAAACAACTTTTCCAGACTGTGCATGCACTACCAGTGTTTCAGGACTTAAGAGAGTCAAGAACTTGACTGGCGATTAAAAACACACACAAAAAAGCAGTGGTCTGTATCATTTTTTTTTCTTCACTCCCACTCAAATACGGTGATTCTAAAAGGGGTGGATAAAGATGGCAGGCAAATTTAGTTCCTTCTATAAGACAGATCTCCTGATTGTGAGTCCAGAAAGGCAGTACTTGTGCATGTACAAACCGCATGTACACTTACCCGAGATTCTCATCTTTACTAATGGACATGCATATGTCTTGGAAACAGGCCATATTTCCTAATATTCCCACACAGATTTCCTGAAAAGCCAAAACACAGTATAATGAAGCAACTGTAACACATCATTTTATTTCCACAGCTATAAGACAAAAGTAAGAAAGGTTCAAAGATCTTTTCCAGTTTGATCTCCAAGTTCTTATAACCCACCAGTTTCAAGACACAGATACAGATTTTTCTACAGGATGTTATTAGACCAGTCTAAAATATACTCATGACTGGCACTATTTACGTATTTAGGTGTTAAGGCATTCCATAAAAAAGAATGTATCTTGAAATCAAATCTGCTTGCATATCCTATGTATACTGTTTTGGAGCTAATCTGTCATCCCTATTATTAAAGCAATAAAGAGTCCTAAGAACAAAAAAATCACCACGTAAGTACAGCCCTCACAAATACTTCCTCCCAAAAGTGGTTTCGCTACAATCTTCCAGCGAAGCAGAACTGATTGCAGATCCCTGACTGCAGAGATTCAAAAAAATGAAAAAAAAACCCAGCCAACCAACAAAGATCCCAACCAACCAAAGCAGTGCATTCCATCAGGATATTCATGCCTAGACAATCATTAAAAGGATGCACGCTTCTATGAAGTGGACTGTGAGAACTCCAAAACATCTGGAGGTGACTGGTGCTAACACACAATGTCCTGGTAATCCCTCACTTTCAGCAACTTTAAGCTGGAAATCAATCCTCATCACCCAAGGTTGTCTTTACTAAAGTTCTATTACCTCTGCTAAACTACAGCAGACACTCTAACAGCCACTATTTCAAGAAAGGAGCCATGACAGCCAATTTGCACTGACTTCCAAATTTTGGTTGTACTTTCACAGGCCCGTGTGTATGCCCTGAAGTAAAGCATCTGGTAACTTCAGAGAAAGGAGAGTTATACCAACACTGAATAGCTTTGAAAACCCTGTTTTGAATCCCAAATGCTAGTGTGCTATGTAATACAAGCTGAAAATTACATCAAAACAAAGGCAGTTAGAAAAAAATGTGTTAAGTAGTAGTGTCTAACAGTTCCTAAATGCTAAGATTACTTTTGTAGGTCTGACTAAACAAATTAATGACTGTTCAGTAATCATGAGACAAATAAGGCCCGTCTTTACTGGCTTTTTATAACAAGCCTTATAACTAGATTTTATAAACTAAGTCCTTCATCAATAATGACATATATCAGCTGCAGCACCACTGAAATACTTACTGGTTAGGTCATATTAAAAACACTTTAAAAAGCATTTTAAAATTTAATTTTGTGTCTTCTCCTTGTTCCCCAAACCTATGCAAACAGGCAATGGGAGGATGAGGGAGATACGTGCAAATGCACGTACATAGCTGTCTTCTGCTTCTAGTAACATAGGACAGCTTTTTGGCAGCCCATACTTACAGTAAGGCGAGGGCATTTAGACTTTGCAAAAACTCCCATGAATATATCAGGGGCGTTGAACTCCTGAAGAAATAAAGCGACATCCTGTAGAGAAAGTCAAAGGAGAAGTAAATGCAAGTCAAACAGTTTCTCACAGCACAAGGATTGGACGAAAGAGATGTTGAGCTCACTACAAAAAATCAGTTATTTCCCAACAGTTATTGCCAATAATGTGCTACACCACCATCCTGGCTTTTCAATGAGAGAACATCAGCGAGCCCCTACAGTGATTCAGGATGCCACTGATTTGTTACACAATGAGCCAAAAAGTCACACTTAGTTTCTTCTGCTCTCTGCCTCAAGAGGGTCAGAGATGCTAAGTCAGAATTCGGCAAATATCGTGTTTTTAAGACAGTCACATTACGCAGGCAAACAAAAAGAAACAAGGGACAGGATTACCATTTGCTTTTGATCAGAGCATATAAAAGAGGAAATCCATTTGGGAGTTAAGGGCATATCTTTCATGTTTGTTTAAGACATCTAAGCAAAGAGTTGGGGAATAAAATAACTTTTTAAAATAGATATATCTCTTGAAAATTTGTTCCAGCATTTGAGAACACTGAGAAAAATACCAAAAACTTATGTTAAATTGCCATTGTGAGTCTGTAGCTCAAGTTTAAAATCTTGTTTATCGATCAGAGAAAACTATGCTTACTAGCAGGACACATTACAGTTGCTACAGAAGAGTATGCCTATTGTGAGACAGCCTCTCTATTATCAAACTGCTGTAGATACAGGCTGTGCGTCTGAGCTAATTTCAGCTACAGCTAAGGCATAGCTTCTACTGACTCCAAGCTTCAGTTCAACTCCTGCACATAATATAGAAAACCAATTTATGCATCATTTATGCCAGCTAATCCTAAGCAATAGCACCACATGATCCATTAGACATCTGAGGGGAAGGTCAGGCAGACCACCTTCTTTCTGTTACATTCACATGCAGGTCTGCTTTACATCCTCAAACAGCAGCATGGGGTCCAGCAGCTAGGACACAACACAAGGCCTGCTTCTGCAAACTAGTGCTGCACCTATGAATGCACACAACGTACTCACTCATCCTGAAAAGCAGCCTGCTTGATGCCTATTCACCACGCCAGCTCTGCCCACTGCCTCACAGGACACCGCCAGCCAAACCACAGAATACACACCACCACCGAAACCAAAAAGCTGACTGAGCCCCCTTAATTCTGCGCCTTCTCCCACTTGCAGGATTCTGACCGAACAGAGTCAGCAACAGAAACAGGGCAGGTGCTGTGGCCCACCCGCACATCGCTCCTACCTCGTCCATCGACATGTCCCACACTTTGCAGATGTCATTCTCCATCTCTTCGTCCAGTTCCGTCGGGATTCCCTCGGGGCTCGCTGTGGGCTCCGTCTTCTCGGGGCTAATGACCTGAGAGAAAAAGGGGTGGTGGGGCACACCGGGATACGGCGGTACGTGAGCTACGACCGAGAAACGTCATGAAACACCAACACTGACCTATCGCTTCAGTCGCAGTTTAAAAAAAAGCCCCACACAACTAGGCAACCGGTGGTGGTCTGTGCTCCCCCCCTCCCCCGGGCCTGGTCACGGTCGCACCGGGCCTACTGGCCTCTCCCCTCACG